TACTTCTCTGATTTACGCTTCATCGGACAAGTGGGCTAGAATATTTTACCGAATACCTTCTATACGTTTACCAAAGGAATTTGTCGCTCGATGGTATCGCCATTACGAAAATTCTTCGTAACGAAACGATACTTTATTCTCCTCTAAATTATTCAACAGATGTTTCAATTGCCTTAGTAGTATCGTACACAGCAGCTGTTTCGAGACAAACTCGAAACTCGAAATGCTTGGAAGGAACAAAAACGGAATCGGATAGAACTCGGGGCTCTAACCGAGTGTCAAACTGTGTCGCCTTCGAGTCGCTTTTCTAGCTCCCTTCAGCTCGTAGTTGTATTTAACAACGTTATTATAACTTGAGGCGTAGTTCTCGCGTGTCTTCTTAGGTCAGTGCTAACTCCGCTCCGTCTTTCGAATGAAAGCTGTTGGATATAGTCGGCAATCGGAAATTATAACTTGAATTCTAAAACAGCGTTTACGCGTTCTCCTAACTAACGTACTTATTGCTGACACGTTAATTATAACGTACAAGTTCGGAGTGACACGACTATTGTGGCGAGGGGGTGAAAGGCTAAAAGTACAGTTTGATTGACACCGCCATACGCGAGAACCCTTTCACCTATATCGTCGAGTAGCTTTCTTCCCTTTGCCGTGTCTTGTCGATTTCTTTCACTGTAACACCTTCGTTCTTTTATCGCCTACCTAGAAATCATATTTTTAATGTTGATATGAATACGAATCTTTCTGTTTACAGTCTCTTGTCAGCGATTATTTTTTTGTCTAAATAATCGGGCACGACTAGGTTTGTCGTGGTATTCTAGGAATTCTATGCCACGGCATTCGAATCATTGAAATGTATTTTAATTACTTAATGATTCTGGCGAAATACGAACGCAATTCGAGGGAATTCCTTTGCTCTGACGTCACCGATGCATACAGCAACATCGATTGATCCGACACACCGTCTGAAGATGATCCTCGTTGCATAGCACCCTGGGAAATACAGCGAGCCACCAAAGCATTCAAACACTCTCAAATGAAAGGACTGATATTTTTTAAATCCTAGTTATATACAAATTCGAAAACAAGTATACAGTTTATTCGAGAAGAGAGTGTACGGCGAAACATTTTTTTTTTTTATACTGTTGGAGGAGAAATTCATACGCAGAAACACGACTTCGTAACGTGATGCGTACACGACACTCATGATGAAACATACTGTTCTGTGACCAAGGTTTAACGATAACTGAAACTTTGTTAACAAAACATCAAGGAAAGATGACCCCGCTGTCTTGTCACGTTCGAATTTCTCCTCTAACGGTTCCCAAAAAAAAAAAGTTTCGCCGCACGCGATCTTCTCGAACATACTGTATCACTCGATTATGCGTGTTAAATTTCAAGAAACCTCATTAATCTAAACTATTTCGTTCACCAAGAATCTCGCTCCTTGAGTCTTCATTAAATTGAAATCCCTCGTTCGAGAGCTATATTTAGACTACATGTTGTATTTCGTTTGTATCGTCTCATCTTTCCAGAACACTATTTTCCTTTCCTTTAATCGTCCTAGATGAGGAAGAAATTAAGACGCCCGCGTTGTCGCTATCCACAGATATTAACAAATAACTCACGTACTTACACTACAGTTGAGCATTCTATAATCGCACTTTTTTTTCTATCGATCTACAGTTTTCGAATTACTTGTTGTGAACGACACCATTTTTCGATAATTATTAATTTTAATTGGTATCGGTCAAAGGTACAAATTCTATGTAGCGTTAGAATTGCCTGTCTAAAACAGAAATATCTACTTTCGTCACGTCTATGACAAATTGATCAATGACGGTACATAGTAGAACGGTTTTCAAAATGTATTCCACCTGCAAGCCTAAAGCTTTCGTCCTGTATGCAGGCTCTCCAGAGACATCGAACAAGAGTCCTTTGTCTAGACCAGCAATGGGAAACCTGCGGCCTTTTAAGTTATTCCGTATGGTCTTTTCGTCAATTATAAATTCGAACTTTGTTGATTTTAATTTAGAGATCTGTCTAGATCAAAGATAAAATGGTTGTTATCCTTTTTACGCATTCTTCGAGTTCTCTCGTCATTCATTAATATGATATACCTAAATAATGAAATAATGAAATAATTATCAAATGCCCGATTTTATTGGCGAAATAGGCGCGATCACTCCGATACTGCCAATCGGAAGGCTTGTATCTGCAGTGCATTTGCGATTGCATGGACAGAATCATATGAGATTGCGCTCGATTGAAAGATGACACACCAAAGGGCTCTTGTGTTCAGGCCTCGAAGCGCTAACCCAGATCTAACCTACATAGATATAAAATTTTGTAAAATTTCTAAAGAAAAGCGGGAATGGAAGGAAATCATACTACGTTAAAGAATAAATTGTTTCGTTTGTTTTGTAACTTATTTAAATATTTACTCTAACGTAGTAAAAGTTTCAGAACATTCTGTTTATTCGTTTGGTTTGTAAAAATTCTCCAAAAAGGTTCGTATCTCTCCGCTAAACATAAAATAATTTTATCAAATCCTTGTCCGAGGAGTGATCTAATTTAAAAAATCATAGGTCAATGATATATTGTACATATATATATATATATATATATTGTACATATATATATATTATACATATATATATATTGTATATATATATATATATATATATATGGTTCTTTATTATTTACATTCTTCCTTGTTGGCATATCATTCATCAAATACTGTTTCGACACTCGCTCGCTGACACTGGTATGTCAATATATGTACGCTGTGTGTGAGTGTATGTGTGTTTGTGTGTGTACATTATTACGTGTATAATTGCATATGTTTGTGTGAATATAGATACATATATGTATACATAAATATTTATATAT